GCCTTAGAGAATGGCATGCATCTATCTGCGTTGCTGATTTTTCAGGTGTTGCTCTGAGATGGAATTCAGAAAATTATCAGGGAGTTTTGGTCCTCTTGATTTCTAATTTTTGTGATGGAGTTAGAGTCGCAGAAATATCATGAGTTGCTAATTTAAAAAATAATTTTCTTCTTCTTTTTGTATGAGCAATTCACACTGATTGTAGACATTTGGAAAAATATCAAAAGCCGTAATGCTGAAAATTACCCATAATTCTAGTATTCAGAGATAATCACTTACAAAACATTTTGTTGTATTTGCATGCATCTTTATATGCATAATTAAGATCATTGTGTATGAATTTTTATTTCTATTTTCCCCATTTAACATTTGAATATTTTTTCTTGCATTGAGAGCAGTACAGAGTAGGGGCTCGTCTTCCTTTCCTCTGGCTGCTGTAATAAATTTCCCCAAAGTGGGTGGCTTAAAACAACAGAAATCTAGTCTGTCACAGTTCTAAAAGGCCAGAAGTCTGAATCAAGGTGGAGGCAGGACTGTGCTCCTTCCGGGGGCTCTAGGGTCAATCTTTTCCTCGCCCCTCCCACTTTCCGGAGGCTGTTGGCGTTCCTTGGCATGTGGGCCCATCCCTCTAATATCTGCCTCTGTGTTCACATGCCTTTCTTGTGTGTTTGCCTGTGTGTGTGTGTGTGTGTGTGTGTAATCTCTCTCTCTGCTTCTATTATGAGGACACTTGTGGTGGCATCTAGGGCCCACCCAGAAAATCAAGGCTATCTCTTCCTCTCAATCTTATCTTAATCACACCTACCAGGTCCTATAACATTTTCAGGTTCCAGAATTGGGGCCTGATGTCTTTGTGGTTATTATTCAGTGTAGTGTAGGGTTAAGAGCTTGGACTTTGGAGCTGGGCACAGTGGACTCAAATCCCAGTGCTGTCTCTTAGCAGCAGAGTGGCCTTGGGTGAGCATCTTAACTCTCGGTGCCTCTATTTTCTAATCTGTAAAATGGGGATAAAAACAATACCTACCTCTTTGAGTTGATATAGGGATTGGGGGTTAATAACATGCAGAGCATCTAATAAGCATAGGATAGTGCCTGGTCCATGTAAGGATTAGCCGTTACTAATATAGTTGTTATTTTAATGAAAAATTCTTTGTAAAATGTTATTTTAACGGCTGCATAAAACTTTATGAATCTACCATAATTTATCTAATTTCCTTTTCTTGGCTATTAAGTTTATTTTTAGTTGTTGTTTTTTTTTTTTTAAATTTCATATAAAACACTGCCATGGATAGCTCTGAGGGTTCGGTTTTGTCCCCGTTTCAGATTGTTCCCTAGTGAAGTTCTGAAGATGGAGTTACAACATCAGATGGGTGGACAGTTTTAAGCCACTTGTAAGGATGTAACAAATTGCTTTCCAGAAAGATTGTGCCTATTTCACTCCTACCAGTTGTTGAATGATAGAGTGCCCACTTTACTATGGCTATACCTGTATGGAGTGTGATCATTTTAAACATTCTCAGGTGTTTTGGCTTGGTCTGCCCTTTAAGGCGGAGATGTAACAGCAAAAGAACTCAGCACAGTGGTTCCTTTAGCAAGGACTACTCGTGCCGGCAAGGCAACTTCTAACGAGAGAGTAAATCCTTGCTTTATTAAGTCTCCAAGTGTTGTCTCTGTTCTATATGAAACCTGGAAACTTCCTGAATGTTCTTGAGAGTACAGGGAGGGGTGCTGGGGAGAGGATATGTTAGTAGCAGGGCAGTGCAAGGTACAAAAGGATTTTAATGAAAAAGTTTTGTGTTTTCAAACTTGGACATGGAAAACTCTGAGCATTTTATGGGATGAGGGAGGCACTTGAACAGAAAACAGCAATTTAATCACTTTACAACTAAAGCCATGTGAGGGATGGGAATAGGGGTCGGGAGGGGACAGCTTCTGCACTGCCTGTCCGAGAAGGTGGGGACCAGCCCTGGGCAGGCCGAGGGCACAGTCTCCACCTGCTCTTTGCACCCCTGCCACCTGTTAGCCACCTCTCCTTTCTTGCCCCATTTCATGGTCTTGCCCAGCCCCGTCTCTGGGCTGTAGAGGAAAAGCAGGGTCCTAGCTGAGTAAAAGATGGGGGTGTTTTTTTTCCTCAATGGTGAATTGGTTTGTGTGCACCATGTACAACCGGCCACAGAGGAGTTCAACACTATGCAAACCAGCTGTAGTGGACTAAATAGTAGCCCCAAAGATGTATCCAAATAGTGTTCTCTTATTTGGCAATCTAATTGTATAGATATAATTAAGACAAGGATTTTGAGATGAGATCAATTTGGATTATCCAGGTAGGCCTAAATGCCATTATAAATGTCCTTATAAGAGAACAAGAGGGCGATCACACACATACACACACTCTCACACTCACACTGCAGTGAAGTGGAGGTGTGATGTGGCCACCAGCCACCTGATGCTGCAAAAGGCAAGGAGCAGAGTCTTCCCAGCGCCTCTGAAGGGAGTGTGGCCCTGTGGACACTTTGATTTTGGGATTCTGGCCCCCAGAACTGTGAGAGGCTACATTGATATTGGTTTACACCACTCAGTCTGTGGTACTTTATTACAGCAACTGCAGGGAACCCATATACCAGTCTGTGCTCCATTTAATAAGACAGTTCCACTGATTGTGTACTTGGCTGTGTAGCAACATCATCCTGTATAATAAAAGGCTAATAGGCAAATCAATCGAACGGCGGAATGACTGGTTGCTGTGATGCACAATGACCACCAGGGGGCAGACGCTCAATTCAGGAGCTGCCCCCTGGTGGTCAGTGCACTCCCAAAGGGGGGAGCGCTGCTCAACCAGAAGCCTGGCTAACGGTTGGTGAGCGCAGCGATGGTGGCGGGAGCCTTTCCCGCCTCCACGGCAGCGTTAAGGATTTCCGACTGACAGCTTAGGCCCGCTCCTCAGAGGGAGCCGACAGTCAGACATCCCCCAGACTGCGGGAAGGCGCAGGCCAGACTAAGGGACCCCCCCCCCCCCCGCCCCAGAGTGCACAAATTTCTTGCACCAGGCCTCTAGTATGCTATAAAAGCTTCGAAGGCTCTCCGTTTCTGTACTTGTGAACCAGCAGCAGAGTTGGAGAGTGGCACTGGTTTGAAGACCACCCTTGGAGTACCACTGGTCTCCTTTGTTTTATGAAAGAGGCCCAGAGAGGAAGTGGTAGGACTGAGATTAGAGCACGGTGCCTCTGCTGCTTGCAGTGGATAGATGGGATGTGGCACCAGCCTCCTGGGGCCGGGTCTGGGGTGAGCAGACAGGAGAGCTGTCCTGCTGCCTGTTCTGTAGGCCAGCTGGTGTCCCTGTCACTGTTCTGTACCCTGCCGAGTGAGAGCGGATGCTCCAGGGAGCCTCTTAGAAGCCCCAGGAACCAGGGGAAACTTGCAAAGCCTCTGCTGCAGCTAATGAGCCAACAGCAGCAGGCGAAGGATCCTGTCAAGGGTAAAGGTCATTGCTTGCTGTCCACTTAATTTTCATTTGACTGCTTTAGTCCTGTGGTTTGGGTGTTATTTTCTGTCTGCAGTTCAATTTTAACTTTCTACATTTCCTGAATGGTAGTTATCACGTAGAGAGTGTGGGATTGGACTACAGTCATCTTGACTATTAGGCTGCTTGAATAAAGTCCATCCAACTTAACTTGGCCCTGAAGAACCTTCTCCTTTCCAGCCCTGCCCCCCACCCTTCCCTTTCATACACCTTAATCCCTGAACTTGACCAGAATCATCACTCCAGTACAGCAGGGGACTCGAAGAGGCTAGATTCTTGAAGCCCTATAGTAGGTCAGTTCATGGTTGAGTAACTCAAGTGCTGATGGAAAACTATAGCAAGGAGATAAATCTTTAAAGATCTCAGGAAAGAAATGTTCACATTTACTAAAATAGACTCTAAAGGCAACACAAACAGCTAGTACCAGACACCAGCATCTGGTCTACCATTCAGCGCAGTTGAATCACCAGGTGATTGTAGCCAGGCAAGAGCAGAAGAAAAACCAACCTGCTGAGCCCAGCACTCATTGCTGACCTACTAAACCATGAGCAAATAAAATATTCATTGTTTAAGACAAAGAAAAAAAAAGGGCAGCACAATGAATCAAGACTGAGTTATTACACTTCTTATTTTAGTAACGATGGGCATTGTATAGTTACTTAATTATTCCTTGCTTACTGTGGGCACTTTTCAGTCTCACCTTTTTGTATTTTCAATGAAATTTTTATTTGTTTTGTTTTGTTATGGATAACGACCATATTAGGAGTCCCTTTTCTCCAGTATTTGGGCTTCCATCTTAATATTAAACACTGCTGGGATTTTATGAATTATTTATTAGGTCTGTTCTCTGGGCCTCTTTCTTTCCTGTCAGATATCATGGGACGGTAATTCAGAGGCCCAGGTCACTCTCTCATCTTTTATTTTTTCCAAGGCTTTGTTTCAGAAGCCTTTTTTCTTAGCCCTCTACTTTTCTTTCTTTTTCTAGTCTCAACCCTAGATCTCTTATTTTTAAATCAGTGATTTTTGGTTGCAGGGAAAAGAGGTGCCGTGGCACCAGCTTAGGTTAGTGGAGGGTTTGTTGTAGGAATGTTGGGAGTTGTAGGGAGCAAAGCTTGACCGCCTGCTGGGAACTGGAGCAGGAAGGCCCCTCTGACTCAGGGCTGCGCTGTCCTGCTCATCTCGTGTGTGTGTGTGTGTGTGTGTGTGTGTGTGTGTGTGTGTGTGTGTGGTGTGGTGTGGCATGTCTGTTTCCCTGAATCAGGGCTCACTGTTGTGTGCCTAAGTTTGCAAGTCTTTATTCTCAAAGGAGGGAAGGGGGCAGTGCAGCTGATGGTGATATGTCCATCCTCCAACTCGATCAATTGGGGGAGCGGAGCCATGTGATCGCCCTCTCAGCACGGACTTGGGGGATGTCCCAAAAATAGGGTGTGTGGAAGGGTAGCCCTCCAAACCTATTAAACCTCTTCTGATTTCTCAACAGGAATAACTCAAGTCACCTCTGCTGGAAATCGGTTTGCTGAAACTATTGAAACAGCAATTCTTGAAGTTGAAGAAAAGGTAAGGAGACGTAAATTCATATCTACTCAGGTTCTCTTCTCCAGGAAACACACATGTGGGGAGGGAATCCTATCCTGTCGTTCCTCAGACATGCCTGGTTCTGGATGTCATATTTCACCCCTCCTCTCTGCCGGGCACGTTCCTCCATCCCTCAGGGCCTTTCTCAAATGCTACCTCCCTGGAACTGAAGGCTCTTTGGTTCCTTCCTGCTGGCAGTGATTCCTCCCCTTTAAAACCCCATAATAATGTCTCCTTCTTACCGACATGTATTGTATGGCCTCACATTTTCTTTGTGCCCCTCCTCTGACTGTTCTTCTCCCACAGCTGCGCCGAGTGTGGGGGCTCCTCCTCTGTGACCTCCCCATCCTGGCATTTCCAGCTTGATTATAGTTGCCTGTTTGTGTGTCTTTTCAGTGAGCTCCTCGGGGGCAGACCTGAATTGTGCCTGGGACGTAGTAGATGCTCCATAAATGTTTATTGAGTAAACAGTGAATCGGCCTCCTGCCAGCTAGACTGTCAGCTTCTGTGTGGGCTCCCTTTGTACCTCCACCTCTCCACTCTCTCCACTCGTTCTCACGTTGGTTCTGTTCTTTGAACTTTCATCAGAAATTGCTAATCTTCTCTAGTTTTGCTTTGTGTTTTAACTATTGGTGAAATGAAGCTCAGAGGAAAGCTTTTGTATCTGATTTTTCTTTTTCATGGGCAATTTGAGCCCATGTTCAGAGCCATAATCCAACAGCTGGAAGGGAAGGGAGGTGACAGGCAGGTCAGGAAACCAGTGACCGCGGGAGCCTGGCTCCCCGCCTGCCTCCACCTCCCTGTGGCTGGTGGTGAATGGGCCTTGCGCGAGGTTGGGGTTTGGTCCTCTTATCTGCCGGCATCCATCCATCCGTATGCTCTTCAAGCTGCTTTAATCAATAGACGATTGCATTTTAACCCACTTCCTTGCTCCGAACATTTTTGCATAAACGAATGTGTCAGCAGTTTCCTAATTTCAGACTGTTTACTGCGCTTGTTAAGTATCCCAGAGACATTCCTTACCAATTCTACTAGTTTTCTCGGTTACCATCGTCTTTGAGGACTTGTCCCAGCCTTTCCTACCTAACAGTAACCAGCGGTTGTCTCTCATAGCTGTAGAGTTCTTCCCCTTTTACAGGGCTTCTACACACATCATCGGATCTTTTCCCACCAGTCCTAGCCAACAGGCAGGACAAATGGTCACTTCTCGTGTTCAGGCAGGAAACGGACTCAGCAGCTCAGTGTCTTACGTGAGGTCACGTTGTCAGTGTGAATGGAGTTGGGTATTTCTGTCCTCTGCACCATCTTACCATGGTCCTTCTCCGTGGAAGCCCCCGCTGCCGTCACAGAACCTGACTCTGTCTCTCACCTGTCTCTTACTCACCCTCACTGTTCCTTTTGGGGAGGAGAGCCTGGATCTGTTGGGAGATGCAGTCTGACCCTGGTGTCACCCTGAACCCTAGCCAGGCTGCTTTCTTGAGGAAGTAGATGTCTGTGGATATCTTGCTCCCAAGACCTTCTAGATCAGGGGTCCTCAAACTTTTTAAACCGGGGACCAGTTCACTGTCCCTCAGACCGTTGGAGGGCCGGACTATAGTTTAAAAACAAACTATGAACAAATTCCTATGCACACTGCACATATCTTATTTTGAAGTAAAAAAACAAAACGGGAACAAATACAATATTTGTATTTGCATGTGGCCTGCGGGCTGTAGTTTGCGGACCCCTGTTCTAGACAGTCTGGTAAGTTTTATTTTTGGTAGGGCTCACTGAAACGCAGGAAGCTTAATGAATTTACGTTAATGCTGCCCTGTGTTACTCTATGAGTGAACGGGATGACGCTAAGAGAGGCTTGATCAGCTTAATCTGGCTGTATCTCATGATGTTCTTTCCCTCCCTTCTTTCAATCATTGCAAATGGTCCCATCAATCAAGGCGGCAGCTCACTGCTCTGTGGCCATGTGGGATTGTTTAGTTAATTGTGACTTTATAAAAATGGCTCAACGTTTAATTAGAAAGCAGATTGTCAAATGACATTTTGGTTTGTCCTCTGATGGGGGAATTGGAAACTAGGCTCGTCATGATAGGAGACAGGCTCTGGTACAGAAGGAGGCGTATTAACTGAGAGCAGCATGGGATTGCAGTGAGTCATTGTTTTCCTACAACAGGCCGACTTCTCTGAGCTTTTTGTGGAGAGAGACCTCCCTCTGCATCTGATGCCACCTTAGATTTTCCTAGGGGAGACTCTAACTTGGAACCCCCAAACAGGGTGGTACTTGAAATGGTGTACTTATCAGGGTGCAGGACTAGATACCAAGAACCTACTGGCGCTACTTAAAAACATCAGTATCAAGAAATCAGCAAACCTACTATGATGCTTGTAATTGAAGAAAATAGCTTACATTTTTTATTTCCAATTGTGGTGTGAATCAAATACCATTTTGCAGCGAAAAGTTACTGTTTTCTTAGCCCCAAAGCTGGTATCTGCATTACTACTGAAGGCCATCATAGAGGCGGCCTGCGCGTGTCCTGGCTGAGTTTGGTCCCATAAGCTCCTCATGTGTACCTCCCCTTGGCTGGCATACAGGTGGACATTGGAACACCATGAGAAGAGGTCAGGAAGGGCCACCAGTAAGAATGGCTCCAGGAATCCACCCCTCCACATGTCACCTCTGTAGTATGTAGCACTTTTATACCTTTTATATCAGTTAGCAAACTTGTATATCTCATGGGCATCTCAAGCTTAATGAGTCTAAATATTTACTCTTGGTTCCTCCTACCACAACCTCTTTCCAGACACCACCCCCCCAATCTCATTAAGGTGCACAGCTGTTCACTTGTTTTTTCAAGCCAGAAACTGGGGAGTCACTCACCTTTCTCTCCCTCCAAATCACCAAGTCCTAGGGATGCTTCTGAAATGCGTCTGCTGCCCTCCACATCGACCTCCCAAGTCCGACAGAGTCATCGCCTCGGTGACCACAGAGGCCTCTGAGCTGGCTGCCCTGCTTCCACTTTCCCTTCATTCCGTTCAGCACTTTGGACCCAGAGAGATCTCTACAAGTACTTGTCACATCATTTCACCCCCTTCGTTAACCCTGTTAGTGACCACCTCTTGCTCTTGGACAAATCCCCTACTCCCAGCATGGCCCACGAAGAGACGGCACCGTCTGGGGCCCAGACCTGGCTGGAGGTCCCACAGCACTGTTGACATCCCACTGAAGTGGCCTGTAAGATTTTCTCCCTTTCACTGTTGACTTCCTGGGCAGATAGCAATGGCTTTCATTTTCCAAATGCAGTAGAATAACTGCTCACGAAGGTATACTTAGAATGGATGTTGTGTCCTGGGAAATGGTACAGGGAGTGATTTCTTCCTCCAAACCCCAGAATATCAACTCTTACAACACAAAGGTGGACCACTATTTCATTTGGATCATGAATAAGTGAATAACCAATATGTAATCAACTAAAATTATAACACCCTTGCGACTTTCCAAGTAGCACTCTCCTCGAAATATTTTGATATAAAAATGTGTGCAGTATTTTAGCTTAGGCAATCATGAATAAAACTTGCTCCAGGCTGGTAGAAGAAAAGACCGATTTCAACAGGGGAAATAAGAAACACACTAAATATTAGTACACAGCTTTCCTCTTTAGACACATATCTCCTATCCTGAAACCTATTTGCTTTCCTTATTTACTCTTGAGCTATTCTTTTGTGTGTTTGTGGAGCGATGTATACACAAATACACACCTGAAACAGAAGTTCTTAGTTGAGTGATGCTTCCCATTCTCCTCAGGCCTTTCATTCAAGGTAATGAATGGGAATACTGAGTCTTCAGCTTTATTTTTGATGGCCTCAAAGTAAGACAACTTTTCTATGACCTTGAATTAGAAACTTTTTATGCTATCGGTTTGGTGGGTCACTCTGATGCGTTACAAGCCAAGACTGTAGTGGGAATACCAGGCAGGGTGATCTTAATACAGCGTGACACGCACTGTGGTGGAGTTGGTCATAGAGCAGAGGGATGAAACTTCACTCACTTTGGGGAGTGGGAAGTCATGAAATGCTTCTAAGGCATGTGACCTTTGAGATAGGTCTTGAATGAAGAGCTTGCTAAGTGGAAGGAGTGACTGGGAGAAAGAGGTGGAACAGGGCATTTCAGAGAGCTGCACGGACAGAGGCTGGGAGTCAGCAGGAGCGTGCTGTGCCTAGATTGCTGCCTGGAGGGCTGCTGTGACCACACCACGGAAGGTGGGGTGGGGTGGGGGCTGGAGGGCAGGCAGGGGCCAGATGGTGCAGCGAAGGCCCCTGTGGAATGTTCCCCTGGGTCATCGCTGGATCCGATTTGTCTTTTATGTCAGGGGTTCTGTAGGCTCGGTCTCTACTTTTAAGGCTTCTCCCAAGTGGCAGGAGAATGGTGATCCGATTCAGACACGCAAGTTCTTTTATCAATCTCTATGGGTGTGAGACTCAAAATTCCACAGACTTCCAGGTTCAAGGTATGACTGCGGGCCACCTACCAGTAATTACAGAGACGTTATTACAAGTTCCTGAAATGTGATTGGGGATACATGACTGCCCTGTTGGAGTGTATGGATGACCATGTTCCATATTTCACTGGGAGTTCAGCTGCCTCGCCTGGCTCAGCAGTGTGCGTTTCCGGGTCCTATGGAGCACAGGCCCTTGGGGTTCCTGGGGATCAGAAACAGTGCTCTAATGCCATCTTGAATTTGTGACAATTTTTTATTGCTAAGAATCCAGATATTTAATTGTCAGTAACTGTTAGCTTGGCTTTCTAATGATCAGTTTAGCATGGTTTGGTTGGTTGTTAACCTGGAAGTGTGAAGATATTTACAACAGGGATGTGTTTTCACTTAAGAAGTTCCAATAACTAGACTGTAAACACATATGAGGTTTAAATGAATCATCTCTACCCCTTTGCTAGAGAAAATGTATACATCTCCTGCATCCATCTCTACAGC